CCCTGACATCACCACATACAGTATAATGTTCAATATATGTAAAGCTTGAAGGGGCTATCAGAAACTGCAGACCTAACATAGGAAATGAGTGATCAGAGAGGGTGACCTGCTATGTTTTTTGGTGAGGATATGCTACAGAAGATATACGAAACTGGAACATGTTACATGAAGCTATTAGAGATCAATCCATTATCCTAATCAATATTCCCACTACAGACTTCTGAGGTTCGAGGGCCACACTTCAAATACAAAAAAGGCTGCATGTGCCCTTGGTGGACCACAGGTTGGGCACCAGGTGTTTAGATGATCACTTTGAATGTTCAGAATTCATACTAGCATCATTTCATTGTGTTGTGGAATAAAAAGTAAAACTTATTATATCCTATTTGATTGCAGAGTTTGGCTGTAGAAAGCCTTCCACCCCCTCCAACCACCAGGCACAGTACAAGCGGAAATGTTTTATTTGGCTTTAAAGATTTTGGTAAGTACTAGTTACCGATTAAGTTACATCGTGCTGGTAAACACATAGGGGTTGCTTTACTAAAGGCAAATAGACTGTGCCCTTTGCTCCAGAGCTTAGTAATTGAGCAAAAGCTCTATTAACTTCCATCATCCAGTCATATACAAGCAAAAATGCCTTTTTTTAATTTTCCTTGCTTGTGATTGGGTGTTCTTTGGAAAGCGAAGGTTTACTTCATGGAGCACTGCCCCCTTTGGAGTTGCTGAAGTTTGGGGCCTTCTATAGCCCTGCACAGCCAGGCAACATGCATGTCCTTCACTCAGACTTGCATCAGGAGACAGTAACCAGTCCTGAGCTTTATTTTGAAGTTTTATTAGGGGATTGAACTTGGATGGGGTAAGGGGTGTATGGGATGGCCAAGGGTAATGGCAAACTCCTTAGCAACTATGTACAAGTCTTTACAGCAAAAATTCTTCTGGAGAGCTAGCCAGCATCCCCTATAGTACCACCCCTGATGAATCCTCTCCTCATCCAGCTGTACTGGGTGAGTCCCAAGGCGGGGGATCCAGTGCCTGCCGTTGCAGTAAAACAGTCCTGGGTAAGATAGCTAATTCAGTTTCCCACTAGAATGCCTCTTTTCCCTTACTGGCCAAAGGGGTGCAGACCTACTCACTCAGTCCTTCTCCCGCCTACTGGTAGTTGGTGGCTGCTACAAGGCCTCCTAGCTGGGCCGCTCCTTCCCTGCTGCACAGGTTGTCCTCACCTGTCTCAAGCATTCCTCCCTCCAAGATCCTCTGCCTGTAGGCGAGCCCCTCTCCATCTGGGCCCTCTCCCATGCTCCTGCTCTTCAGCCTCACTTCTCCATCTTCCACCCCAACTCTCCTGCTGCTGAACAGGCTCAGTTACTCTTAAGGACTGCCTTGGCCCCAAGCCAAACCTCATGTTGGGGATTGGCCAGGATCCCCTAAGAATACAGACCAGCCACTCCTTACCTTTGCCCACTGATTCTAGATCTTTTTCCAAAGTTCCAGAGCAGGGGAAAGTCTCAGAGAGCTGGTCTGCAGAGCCTGTCAGCCCCTGAATGAAATATGACCTCCCTCTGACTATTGCATAGGCTGCTACTCAGCCTCTGACTAACAATTAGAGCTAGAACTCACCCTAGTTGACTAGGAGGGTGTTACACTCATTTACTAAGTACTGGAGCAACTGCATCTGCAGAGTGCAATGGCACTTTGCTAAGTGCACAGTCTTTTTTGCCATTAGTAAATAAACCCCATAGTGAGCCCAAAAAACGGGCCTATCAGTTACACACATCTTACATAGGATTATGTTCATACGTACTGTTTACATTTACTTGCATAATAAAATGTAATGTATTTTTATGTTTTAATATAAACCCAGAATGTGTTCCCCTGTCGGGCCCTGACCGATTTGTGATTGCTCCCCCGATTAAATTTTTCCCCGGGGTCCGCCAGCGTGGCCCCGCAGCTCACATCGGGGGCGGCTGGTGGGGTCACCCCCCCGATGGGATCCTAGAAGAGGACAGCCTCGGTCCTGCTTTTTGCAGTCCCCGTCTCCCGATCCCCCTCTCTTCTTATCTTTCTATAGCTCTCCAAATGACTTCTTTTTTCTCTCTCCTATTTTCTTTTCCTCCCCCCCTTTTTTTTTGTTTTGTTCTTGTTTTGTTTTCGTATCATATTCTTGTTTATACGGAACTAACTAATTTTGTTCCCTACATCTCGTCGAGGATGCCCTCCTCGACACTATATTTATTCATATCTTAATAATACATGCTAGTATGTTATTGATCCTTACATTTTTCTTTTTTTGTATGAAACTATTTTTCACCTATTCACATGGATCATTGTCACATTTGTGAGATGGCTTTTCTTATGTATGTCTACTTGTACTTGTTTTCATTTTTTCTCCATGCCTTGTATTGTTAAACTGTTGAAAATGTAATAAAGACAAATTTGCCTTTAATATATAAACCCAGAGCCATAAATGGACCCAAAGGTGCACAGAGTATAACTGCATGTTACAAAATGTACAACATGACCTCTGTGGACTATTGCATAGATTCAAAAAGTGATGGTACCTTGATGTGTGTTTGTATGGTGACTACTGTTCACCCCAGTAATAGTCACTACTGGACAGTCCAGCAGCACAGTTTACCAGACATAGGGAAGCTACTCTGTGCAGTCTCTGTTCACTGGGTGTCTGGGGGTCATCACTCAGAGAGCAACACCTGAAACATTTATTATTATTATTATACAGGACTTATTTAGCGCCGACAATTTGCTCAGCGCTTTACATTATGGAGGGAGACAGTACAGTAACAATACAGTTCAATACACGAGGGATTAGAGGGCCCTGCTCCTTGGAGCTTACAATCTAGGAGGGAGGGACATGAGGTAACATGAAGGTAAATAATATGTGTGCGTAATCCAAATAATGCATATTAAAGAAATGAGTGTGAGCTTTTTGACGTCTCAGATGTAAATCCGCCTAAAAGTAAGAAAAGTAGACTTTATTGTAACTGCAAAAAAAAAAACAAATTTAAACAGGAAATTGTGCAAAATACAAATATGGGAGCTGTCATTGCTGACTTCAGAGCTGTCATTCTGACTTTGATGTGACTACTTCACATCCAGTGACCTGGAACTAGCATGCTGAAAATAAAGCCTGGAAAGTCTAAATTTCTGTCCTGCAAATTTTTCTAAGTCAGTGACTCATTTTGGGTCGATTTAGTAAAGGTAGAGATTTTTTGACTTAGCAAAGTGAATGTCCATTTAGTTAAAGAGAAGCTGTGTTCACATCAATCATCCAACCATGTGCAAGCAAAAATCCTGTCTTTTTTTAATTATCCCTTGCACATGACGGGGTATTCAAAGTGAACACTACTGTACATTGCCTTATTTATAAAATTATTGAGTATTCTCTACTTCTTCAGAAATTTAACCTGTTAGTGAAGGCATGGCTGGATTACAGCCTAGAACCTTTATGTTTAAAAGCAATTTAGCAACTGGAAATTCCAAATATTATTTCCTTAAAAACCCATAAAAATGTTGCCTTTTTTTAAGGTAGAACTAAAGGCAAAATATTTTTCCAATTTGAATAGCATAAGTATAACCCCTGTCCATTTTTTGCCATCTGTTTTCCATGAGGGAGATTTCCCTTCACTTCCTGACCAATAGCCAAAAGAGGAATTGAGAGAAAATCCCTCTAAACCCTCCCTCCCCCCAATAAAAAAATGTTTGCCTTTAGTTCTATTTTAATGACTACTTTTTATAGTAGGATAGGTAGGATAAATAATCAATGTTATAAGTAATTTTTATTAAGCCTTTATAATTGTACCTATTCCTTGATTTCATGTCCAGTGCCAAAGGTTTCTATTCTTTGTGTTATTATTGTGTAGAAACATGGAATTCTGTGTTCATACAAACAATTTTGGGTAACTGCACCATTTTTCAGCTACCTTTCCTGAAAGCTTTGGTGTATAGACTGGTACTCAGGCACCCCTAGGCACCTACACATTAGATTATGGAGTAGGGTTAGTTGCCTAGCAGGATGAGGTTAAGTCAGAAAAATCACTTTAACACCGGAGGATAAAACTCACAAGGTAAGCAATAGTCATATACTAGCTAGGACTAAGCAGTTTAAAAGAGGTGAGATTTAGCACACTTACAGGTTGAGCCAGTGGTCAATACCAATAAATTGTTTGTCAAATGCAGACATTGAACAACAAGATATCCAGGCAAGGACAGGATTGGTGGAGTTCAAGGGAAGTAAGACAGGAATGGTAAGCAACCAAAGTAAACACAACAGGCGTTCACCCACAAACTAAAAAATGCCACCATGGGCACCTGTAGGCTAGGGTCTGGTGCCTAGTAATGATCATGCAACCACCAGAGCACTCTACTGTAGCTACCATCTCTTCTCCATGCCTCCAAATTGCTTGATGGATCATGAATGAGAAACCACCCTTGTAAGTTTGGTTCTCTTCCTGAAAACAACCTAAAGATCTATCCTTCTTTCATCAAGGGTTTAAACATGAGTTGTATACCACTGGTGGTAGTGCCAGATTGGCTCATAGTGCAATAATGTGCATATTGGTCTTATTTTTGTTGTGTTGAGATTTGTAGGAATATAACATGCAGAGAAAAGTCTGGTAGTTATACAAGCATTATTTGAAAATACATTAAATTGTTTTTTCCTGAAAACGAAGCTGGACTAAATTTTGAACATCAGCTTTATCAGAAAAGTTTGATTATAAAACTTTAACCTCTTTATTATAACGGGTTTTGAAAACTACAAAACCGTCATACACCCTGAACAATGTTGTCATAACTTAATGGATCTTGTGTACTTCTGTGCAGAGTCACTAAACACTCTAGAAGACAATGATCTGGATGCGTTAATGGCCGAACTTGTGGCCGACTGCAAAGATGCTGAAATGAAAGTGAACAACCAGAGCTCCAACAGTGTAGCTTTTTCCTCCAATCTGGATACATTTGCATACAATATTCCTGATTTTACACATGACCTGCCCACTGGTTCCACAGATGACCTGTCCTTTTTACCACCACCGCCCCCAAGTGAATGGGAAATGGACTTACCTCCTCCACCACCTGATCCTGAGAAGGAGCCAATAGCAAAGGTACTGCATATTTCACGGTCTTTTTATATTAAGAATACACTTTCTAAAAAAGTCAATAATTTGCAAAGTGAAAAGATATTTATTAGGGTCTGTTTGAGAAATATTACCTTAATTTTGTTGTAGGAAGTGAATCCTAAGTCAACATTGTGCTTCTGTAGGTCCTGGACAAGAAGAAAAAGGAGCTCATTGGTATAAGCTAATCATTGCTAAAGGTGGGCAGTAATCTGCATATCTGTGGCCACCTTCAGATCCCAGTGGACACTCTAGACAACACATCTCAGATGAATTCGCTGTATTGGGATTTGTTGGTGGATTGCTAATTTTTTCCACTGAGATAACTCAACACTGATGGGGATTCTGATCTGGCATCAACAGCCATAGGCAATCCCACTAAGTCGATTTAAGCAAGCATGTTAATGCACAAATCAGATAAAATCAAAATACTTGGGTAGTCTAAATGTAAACACCAAACTGCCCTTTAATGTCTATGGCAAGCTTTACCCTCAGCTGTAGCAAGCTGATCTTTAAATTGTAACCTTCTGTGTATAGAAAGTGCCCATATATCAATGTTCAAACCAACAGGTTTCCACTTCCTAATGAAAACTTATCATGAGTAAATTATGGACATTTGCCATTGCTGACCACTTCTTCTAAAAATGCTAGTTACCTGGATACCATGCTGAGACTTTTGATTCAACACATACAGTATGTACAGAAGGACTTCTGACTTTTGTCTGGCTGTGTTGACCTGCACACCTCAGTTTAGGTCAGTGACTCAAAATGTGTCTGGGAATTAGGATTTGCAGGAGGTCAGCAATGGCCACTTCCAAATTTCTTCAGTGACAGATTTGCATTCTTCTGAGGTTAGCTGTTAAAATCAAACCTGCCATTGCAAGACCAAGCATACATGTAAAATTTCACTAACATACAGTTTAGACAACATGAAGTAATAGTACATAACTTATGTTCTTCAGAACAGTCATGTTCCTTTAGAACAGTCATGTCCCATGGCATCTTCCTGTATCAGCATAAGTGATTCGCAACTGACAATTCAGAACTGAACACCTAATACCTATAACTCGATATTATATATGACCTTTGGACGTTATATCCAGTATGGAACCCATTCTCAACATTTACACAGTTAACCCCATGTGTGACTCCATGACCATGACTCCTGACCCCATGACCGAGCTAGGGAGCAGTCTAACCTAGGAAGGAGCCACGGCTTACCTTCCTGCATGTAATTTGTACATCTTGTCTGTGTGTGCAATGAGAAACTACCAGAAAAATGATGTATGTGTGCCACATAGACCTAGCTTATATGTATCATAAACATTGACAGGAACTTCACTTTAAGCAGTATAAGTATTATAAATGACTTGATCTGCTTTTGGCTTATTTTGTATAGTTTGCATAATTGCTTAAAGTGTCTTTCAAAAAGAGAACTGAAATATTAATTGTAGCAAACTTCATTCAGGAAGTTTTCAGTTTGGCAAATGTGAAAGTTTCCCTACTTCAAAAGACGTGACAGCAAAAGGCTGAGAATAAAACTTGTCCTTGTCATTTGTTTTTAAAATAGTTTTTTAAACTAACAGAGGAAACCATTTGTAATGGCTGTTCTAAAGTTAAAGGATAACTAAACTCAAGAACAAAAATGTAATATATTGCAGCTTACAGTCATTAAATGTGACTGCAATAGTTTTTTTTTTTTTATAAACCTAAGAACATTTTCAGCAAATACAGAAAATATGTGTTGATCTTACCAGAAATGCCTTGTCCTTGTCAATTTCTGTGAGCTGCACCGAAGAATATCTTCCTCCCTAGCTGTCTTCTGTAAACTACCAACTGCCCTGCCCCCCATTTAATAGAGAGGAAGAGATTAATCATATGACTATCATCACTGTTCAAAACATGCAACGGAGATTTCACCTTAGTTCAGAGATTATGGGGGGGGGGATTTACTGAAACTGTTGCTCTCCATTGAATGCGGTGCAGCTGTGCATGGTAGTAAATCAGCTTCTAACTTCAGCTTGTTCAATTAAGCTTTGGCAATAAAACCTGGAATCTGATTGGTTATTGTGCAGAGCTGTACAAGATTTTGCAGTCTCCAGCTTTAGTAAATAACCCCTATATGCAGCTGTCCTGCTACATCATGCAGGAGCTGTACTGCTACATATGATTGGGATGGTTGTCATTAGGCAGTACAATGCTTAATGACCAGACTTTGACAGGTACAGAAACAGAAGCCCCTGCAATAAAAGGGTATGCAAACATATACATTCCTACAATGTCTTATTGCCATTGTTACCAAAAAATGGAGAACCACTTTCAGTCTCGGTTTACATATGTATGTTTTTGAGATGAGTACAAATTCACAGGGGCAGTGAATTTAATGTATTCCTGTTGAGGCTGTTCAGATACATAAGTGGGAGACTTGTATTGTGTTTTAGAGAAAGAGTCTTGTGCGAGTTTGGGACTGTGTATTTGGAAGTCGCATTCCATAGAGCTGAATAGGATGTATGCAAATGCAGTGCATTTTTTAATGCTTTCCTACAACAGAGAGAGAGAAAAAAAATATAAAAAAAGCCAGACAGGTGCTGTAAAATTGCATGAAAAACGCTTTAGTTTTCAGCAACAACCGCATGTCATTTGCAAGGTAGAATTACCCTACAAAATCGAGTGATTTTAGAATGCGCATCTGTTAACCAGGACTAAGCGTCTTTACGTTGGTTTTAGATCTGAAGACCTGAATTACTAAGAAATAAAAAGTCTTTATCCAATCTCTTTCGTAGGATGCTTTAGAGTCAAAAGACAAAGTGGACAAAATCAAGCTTGCTTTGGACAAAATGAAGGAAGCTAAAGTTAAAAAGGTGAGAGATGAAAACGGAAACCTTCAAACCAGAATTCAGCTTCACACATAGACTCTCTAAGGGAACAGGAAGCCATTCACAATTTAAAAGCCTTATGTCCGTTAATTAAACTCACCATCATACAGACTGTATAACCTTGTATGTTAATCTCTAACGCATTTCTGTCCAATCTGCCCTTATTCAGCTACTTCAGTTCATTTCCTTGTGACATGTGCACCATGAAAGTGACAATCAGAGGCTTTCATAGATAGAGGTGCTGTGCTATATACACTACATTGCCAAAGGTATTGGGACGCCTGCCTTTACACCACGCACATGAACTGTAATGGCATCCCAGTCTTAGTCCACAGGGTACAATATTGAGTTTGCCCACCCTGTGCAGCTATTACAGCTTCAATTCTTCTGGGAAGATTGTCTACAAGGTTTAGGAGTGTGTCTATGGGAAGGTTTGCTCATTCTTCCAGAAGTTCATTTGTGAGGTCAGGCACTGATGTCGGATGAAAAGGCCTGGCTCGCAGTCTCTGCTCTAAGTCATCCCAAAGGTGTTCTTTTTTTATATATATATATATATATATATATATATATATATATATATATATTTTTTTTTTTTTTAGTGCCAGATGGGCTGGTCTGAGTATTTCAAAAGCAGTCTTTGAAATACTCAGACCAGCCCATCTGTGTCAGGAATGGGCTGAGCACATGTGGTGCTGGAGCTCACCTGCCTTGTGGGCTGCAGTACCACTGCTGGCCAGCGGGTGCTCTCAGCAGCCAGAATCTCACTCCTGCAATCAAGCCATCACCTGAGGCTGATTGCAGGAGGTGTATTTAAGCAATGGCCAGGCCTGCAGTCAGTGCCTTGGTGTTGTTTCCCATGAGCCCCTGTACCTGGTCCTGTCGTCTGCCTGCCTGTTTCCCCTGCTTGACTCTGACACTGATCGAACTCTGCCTGCACTGACCTCGGCTATTCCTGACCTTTCTCCTGCCCGCCGCCCAGCCTGATGTGCCTCCGTGCGCCACCCAACCTGACGTGCCTCCGCCCGCTGCCCAGCCTGATGTGCCAGCTCCTGATGCCCAGCCTGCTTCTGGAAATCCTATGTCCAGCAACCTGCCTTCCTGCGGTCTCCTGCAAAAAGATAGGCCTATCAGCAGGAGACCCAGCCAATTGCTTCATTCCGGCAGTGGGATGTCCAGCCAGTTACCGGACCCAGGCGGTGGAACATTTGGGCCATTACGGACTTTTTGGAGCATCCTGAGGCCACTCCTTGAGGGGGGGGGGGTACTGTCAAGAATGGGCTCAGTACAGGTGGTGCTGGGGCTCACCTGCCTTGTGGGCTGCAGTACCAGTGCTGGCCAGCAGGTGCTCTCAGCAGCCAGAATCTCACTCCTGCAATCAAGCCATCACCTGAGGCTGATTGCAGGAGGTGTATTTAAGCAATGGCCAGGCCTGCAGTCAGTGCCTTGGTGTTGTTTCCCATGAGCCCCTGTACCTGGTCCTGTCATCTGCCTGCCTGCCTGTTTTCCCTGCTTGACTCTGACACTGATCGAACTCCGCCTGCACTGACCTCGGCTATTCCTGACCCTTCTCCTGCCTGCTCCGTTTGTACCTTGTCTGCCCGATTGTTCCTGACCCAGCCTGCCTGACCACTCTACCTCTCCAGCCTGACTACGCCTGTCTGTGTTCCTGAACATACTGACATTAGTTGGAAGTTTGGTTTTGTTTGTACTGTGCATTGTATACTTTGTGTAGTTCCTAATAAATTATATTCTTATCCTTCACTCCTGAAGCCTGCATTTCCCTGTGTCAGTCCACACACCTCTGGTCATACCTGGAGCCCTGACAGTCTGGCACCAACAACCATGCCACATTCAAAATCTCATCCCATTTCTTCCCCATTCTGATGCTCGGTTTGAACTTCAACAAGTCTTCTTCACCACGTCTAGATGCCTAGTAATATTGAGTTGCTGCTATGTGATTGGCTGATTAGAAATTTGTGTTTCCAAGCAATTGAACCACCAAGCAATTGAACCGGTGTACCTAATAAAGTGGCCGGTGAGTGTGTATAAATACACACTCACCGGCCACTTTATTGGGTACACCGGTGAGTTGTATATACACAGCATATATATATATGTAGATGAACCTTTACCCAACATATCAATTCTTTTGCACATGATGATATGGTTGTGCAGAAATCTAAATATAAAACAAAAAGAACAGCAAAGTGAAGTGGACTTTAAATGTGACCTATTATTTTTTGGCCATCAGCTAATTGTTAAGATACACATGACCGATAACAGCACAAAGACCTTGATGGTGGATGAGCGTCAAACAGTTCGTGACATCCTGGACAACTTATTTGAGAAAACCCACTGTGACTGCACCATCGAGTGGTGTCTATATGAAGAACACCCAGAGCTGCAGATTGGTAAGCATGGTAGTATTTACAGTCACTATGAGATTGAGTTATTAAAGACCAATAGACCATTCACTTTGTAGATGAAGTTGCACTCTGCAAGAGAATTTTCCCCAGAGCTTAGTGAACGAGGGGAAGGTTTGCTGACTCCCATTACCCAGTCATGTGCAAGCAAAACTGCTGTTTTTTCTCATTTTCCTTATTTATTTATTTCAGGTACTTATATAGCTCCATCAATTTTTGCAGTACTTTACATATATATTGTACATTCACATCATTCCCTACCTTCAAGGAACTTACAATCCAAGGTCCCTAACTCATATTCATACATACACATACTAGGGCCAATTTAGGTAAGAACCAATTAACCTATCAGCATGTCTTTGGAGTGTGGAAGGAAACCAGAGTACCCAGAGGAAACCCACACAGGCACAGGGAGAACATGCAAACTCCAGGCAGGTTTTTTCCTTGCACACAATTTGGTATATTTTGCAAAGTGAATTTTCACCACATTGACTAAGCTCTAGGGAAATTCTCTTCCAAAGTGAACAGTCTATTTGCCTTTCGTAAATCAACCCTTGTAAGCCTTTGCCCACCATCCATTAAAAATCGAATCCTGAAATATCCTGATCTAAAAAGCAATGCTTTCTTTGACTAAAGCTGAACTTCAGGCAAAAAATATAGGATCACTATATATTTAAATTACCTATTCATTACAATCACTCAATTTATTCCACATACAACTAGAATAAGTTGTCAAATCTGCCTTTATATTAGTTTACTGTGTTTACAGCAGGACTCAAATGGGAAAGCAGAGCCACTCAGATAGCAGGCTGGTGACTTCATCAGAGTGCTGATGCTCCATTTCTCTCCTACGTGCATGCTTGTGGCAGGTCAGTGACCAAGTTCTAGTGCTTAACTACAGAGTAAAGAAAGATTACCAAATTGACAGCGTCTGGCAGTGGTGTCTGAATTACAAGACTGGCTGAACAGCATAAGTGCCAATTCACACTGCATGCATTTCAATTGCTTTCTTTCTGCATTCAAAATGCACAGAAAGTAGGTTATATGGTTGGCAATGTCATAGTTCACATCAGTGCTTACAGTTCCAGTGCATTCCAGTTGCAGAAAAAAAGTAGAATATGCTGCATTTTTTCCGCACAGAACTGTACACACTGGAATGCACCAAAACACACACCAAAAATGCACTGGAACTTACATGTCCCTATCTAAATTGAAGAAAAAGAGAGGGAAAAATGAACTGGAATGCATAAACAACACACTGGAACGCGTCACAAATGCATAAAAAATGCATAGGAACACACCAAAAAAACGCATCCGGAACACATCTGGACAGCATTTCTATAGTGTGAACCGGCCCTAAAGGACATTTCTAAAAGGTAGGATAGTTCATATACATATACAATATCTCACAGAAGTGAGTACATCCCTCACATTTTTTAAATTATTTTATTATATCTTTTCATGTGACAACGCTGAAGAAATGACACTTTGCTACAATGTGACGTAGTGAGTGTACAGCTTGTATAACAGTGTAAATTTGCTGTCCCCTCAAAATAACTCAACATACAGCCATTAATGTCTAAACCGTTGGCAACAAAAGTGAGTACACCCCTAAGTGATAATTCCCATATTGGGCCCAAAGTGTCAATATTTTGTGTGGCCACCATTATTTTGCAGCACTGCCTTAACCCTCTTGGGCATGGAGTTCACCAGAGCTTCACAGGTTGCCACTGGAGTCCTCTTTCACTCCTCCATGATGACATCACGAAGCTGGTGGATGGTAGAGACCTTGAGCTCCTCCACCTTCCATTTGAGGATACCCCACAGATGGTCAATAGGGTTTAGGTCTGGAGACATGCTTGGCCAATCCATCACCTTTAGCCTCAGCTTCTTTAGCAAGGCAGTGGTGGTCTTGGAGGTGTGTTTGGGGTCGTTATGTTGGCATACTGCCCTGCGGCCCAGTTTCCGAAGGGAGGGGATTATGCTCTGCTTCAGTATGTCACAGTACATATTGGCATTCATGGTTCCCTCAATGAACTGTAGCTCCCCAGTGCCGGCAGCACTCATGCAGCCCCAGACCATGACACTCCCAACCACCATGCTTGACTGTAGGCAAGACACACTTGTCTTTGTACTCTTCACCTGGTTGCCGCCACACATGCTTGACACAATCTGAACCAAATAATTATCTTGGTCTCATCAGACCACAGGACATGGTTCCAGTAATCTATGTCCTTAGTCAGCTTGTCTTCAAGCTTTTCAGGCTGCAACTGTTTGCAGGCTTTCTTGTGCATCATCTTTAGAAGAGGCTTCCTTCTGGTATGACAGCCATGCAGACCAGTTTGATGCAGTGTGCGGTGTATGGTCTGAGCACTAACAGGTTGACCCCCCCACCCCTTCAACCTCTGCAGCAATGCTGGCAGCACTCATACGTCTATTTTCCAAAGACAACCTCTGGATATGATGCTGAGCACATGCACTCAACTTCTCTGGTTGAACATGGCGAGGCCTGTTCAGAGTGGAACCTGTCCTGTTAAACCGCTGTATGGTCTTGGCCACCGTGCTGCAGCTCAGTTTCAGGGTCTTGGCAATCTTCTTATAGCCTAGGCCATCTTTATGTAGAGCAACAATTCTTTTTTTCAGATCCTCAGAGAGTTGTTTGCCATGGTTGCCATGTTGAACTTCCAGTGACCAGTATGAGAGAGTGAGAGCGATAACACCAAATTTAACACACCTGCTCCCCATTCACACCTGAGACCTTGTAACACTAATGAGTCTCATGACACCTGTGTGAGAAAATGGCTAATTGGGCCCAATTTGCACATTTTCACTTAGGGGTTTACTCACTTTTGTTGCCAGTGGTTTAGACATTAATGGCTGTGTGTTGAGTTATTTTGAGGGGACGGTAAATTTACACTGTTATACAAGCTGTACACTCACTACGTCACATTGTAGCAAAGTGTCATTTCTTCAGTGTTGTCACATGTAAAGATATAATAAAATATTTACAAAAATGTGAGGGGTGTACTCACTTCTGTGAGATACTGTATATATATATATATATATATTCTAACTGTGCAACTGGCTGTTTGCCTGGAGTTCATCTTTAAGCCATGTACCATTTGTGGCCACGGATTATCAGAATTGGTGAAACTGCCCCACTGTTTTGACTACAGTATAAAATTCTATAGGTGGAGAAGGCCTTAACCTTAATATTTTTTCATTGAATTATCAGTAATATTGATCTTCTACCATCTTAACTTTTAGTTATTGCTAAAAATTTCAGAATTTTAAATTTGTCTATAGAAGCAAGGGCAAATGCTTGTTTTGAGGCCTTTTGGCTGTTTCCTTTTCCCTAAATGGATGCATGTTATTAGAGAAACAAGTAGGCTGCCATTGTTAGTCCTTCTGCAAATTCTGGATGCCATGATGATGCAGCAGCTTCAGTGGTTTGTGAGACATTGAACTGGAATACGTGTGCAGAACATTTGAGCCAGAGATAGCCAGGCAACTACCAGTTTTAGATGCTGGTCAGCAATGGCCCCCTTCATATTCAGTACAGGTTTCCTTTAATACCTTCACATTTGTCAAATCCATGTGCTGAAAACAAACACTGCTCTGGTAGCTAAAGGAAAGCAATACAAGTGCTGCCTTTGTAAACTTCCTTCTGAAATTCAAGTTTTTGGCCCAGAGCAATTCAAGAATTGCAACTTTCCTGAGTGCTCTGGGTCACCATGTAGAGGATCTGTATGAGAGACAGCATTTTCTGAAGTTGGGCAGTGGTATCTCACCTGAAGATAGATTACCTTAAATTGGTTGAAGATTGGAACTGATACATAGTATTCTCCATTTGTTTAGAGAGATTCTTTGAAGACCATGAAAACATAGTGGAAATCTTATCAGACTGGACGAGAGACAGTGAGAACAAAATCCGCTTCCTAAAGAAAAATGAAAAATATGCAGTTTTTAAGAACCCTCAGGTGAGTTTGCCTTTGTCGATTAGCACAAAACATGCATACACCTTAAAGGACACTTTAAGGATTGTATAAAACCCCAGTTTCCTTCTTTCTCTCACTGATGCTTCAGATCCAATCTGTTCCGCTTTATACTTCTTGTCTTCAATCAGTGTCTACAGAACTCACAACTCTTTGCCACTTGAGTGTCCATTTTGTCCAGGGAGCATGTCAAGTCAGATGTTCCTTGCAGTGATTGGGTGTGTGAAAGAAAGATACCACATTGGGACAGTCAAGTTGCAAGGAGGAGAGCAGGGGAAGCAACATTGTTGAGAGAAAAACTTGAATGGCCTCAGTCCTTCTGTGAACTTTCAGGATGAATTGTTCCACAGTGTATGCAGTTACAGAGGTCAATGGTTGAATTTCCATTTTATCAGTGGGTGAAGTATATTTTTTTAAATAGATCACACTGGAAATACAATACATGATAATCTATGAATTGATAATCTGAGTTATGACCCTACTATGCTCAGTTGACTTTATAACATGCCATAATCTTATGATTCAATAATGGATATTCTTCTGTACAATCAGCGTTATATATTTAATGCCAACTCACACTTCTTCGAGGTACCGGTATATACTTTGCTTATTACAGTATCTTATAATTCTAATATAGACACAACAAATAATTTTTGCATCATCCTACTGAAGCCCAATAATGCTCATGGCCCTCCAGTGAAGCCTTGGGTTGATGTAGAAAAATATCAGGAAACAAGTAACAGCATTTTTTTTTTAAACTCATAATATTGGAGTTGGACTTTAACTTTCAGTGTTAACTGAAGTTTACTTTAATGGCCAGATTGACAACAGAAATAAATGTTCATTGCACATTGCCAATACTGGAGATCCTGTTGATGTGAAAGCAAAGATAATGAACTTCACATTGAGATGTTGGAGTAATGAAATGCTAATTCTAACCCAGTTTCTTA